AACTACGGCTAAGACTTTGCTACAAACAGCTTGCTACCACTGCTGGACCTGGAGGTCAAAAGCGTTCTAGTCTTCCCTTCCTTCTAGGTTCCCTCGCCCTATGTGTCAAGAGGTTCCACCTGAGAGACCCCTCTTGGTGAAGATACTGATAGCTTTGAAGGTGGGACCAATCTGAGACTCAGATCCAAAAGTTGAATCCTCCTGTTGTGCAAATTCCACCCCTGGGGAGACAAGCATCTAACCCTCTCCTAAGGTCCCAAATGACAAACCAAAGTACCATTCCACCAGTTACCCCTGGGGAACTAGTGAGTTGATTTGGCTTACTTACAGAGCATGGGTGAGGGGTAACTGGCAGGAACATGGGTGACCTACAAGCAGCTGCATTGGAAAGTCTCCTCCCAGCATGGATGGTGGCTTCTCCGTAGCTGCATAGGTAGAGTCCCCTTCTGTTAGGCTTCCCCCACCTATGTACTCTAGCACCTCCCAGACTTCCTAGGCTTTGTGCAAGCAGGGCAGAACTGCATACAGATGGATGGGAGGAATGGCTGGAATCTCATGAGAGGGTCCCATGACCCTCCCCAACCCCTCCTATGAGGGAAAGTCAGCAGTCTGAAGGCCTAATCATGATGAATGCTCACAAGAAGGCACAGTGAAGCTCAAGAAGGATGTTTTACTCAGAGGACAATGCTTTACAACTCCTTCAAACACATGAATGAGGTACAGGAGCTGGAGCCCTTCTCCCGTCATACCAGTACAGGTGCAACTCACAATCCATGCTGGGCCTTGAAAGCTTGTGTTGTGTTGTGTCCCCCCATCCCCTTTCATTTTCAGAATGAAGAAATGTAGGAACTGGGACTCAATAAAAGGAACCTAGTTCCTAACCCAAAAGTTTTGTTTTGTTTTATTTTATGTTGCTTTCTTTGAGATAAGATCTCACTATATAGCCCAGGCTACTCTAGAACTCATGCCCTTCCTGCCTGTGTAGATTAGGCTGGTCTTGAACTTACAGTGATCCTTCTGTCCCTGACTGCCCAGTGCTGGGATTATAGCTGTGTACCACCACACCAGGCTCTGATTCAGGTTTTCTGTCTATATTAGTCACTTTTCTGTTGCTGTGATAGAAACACTGACCCAAGCAATTTATAGAAGGAAGAATTTATTTGAGCTTACGGTTCCAGGGGAATTACAGTCCGTCATGGCAGGGAGGCACGGTGGCTGGAGGTGGCTGGAGCAGGAGCAGCAGAAGCTAAGCTCTGAGAGAGAGAGAGAGAATTAGTCACTTTTCTGTTGTAGTGATTGAAACACTGACCCAAGCAATCTACAGAAGGGAGAGTTTATTTGAGCTTACAGTTCCAGGGGAATTACAGTCTGTTGTGGCAGGGAGGCATGGTGGCTGGAGGTGGCTGGAGCAGGAGCAGCTGAAGTGAAGCTCTCACACCATCATGCAGGCACAGGAAGCAAGAGGCCGACTAGAGATCTGGCAAGACTTAAGAACTCTGTAAGCCCACCCCCAGTGATGTGCTTTCTCCAGGATAGCCACACCTTCTAAAACCTCCCAAAACAGAACCATCATCTGGGGAAAAAATGTCCAAATACTTGGAGCCTATGGGGGACATTTTCATTCAAACTACCACACTGTCCAAACTTTAAAGCACTTCAAGACTTGGGTTGGCTGTTCTTCCAGAGGACCTAGGTTTGATTCCCAGCACCTACATGGCAGCTAACCACCATCTGTAATTCCAGTTCCAGGGGATCTGATGCCCTCTTCTGACCTCTGTAGGCAATGAATGACATGGGTGTACTTACATTCAGGCAATACACTCATACGCATAAAAAACAAAAAACAAAAAGTGCTTCAGGACTCATGAGAGGGGGTAGCAATGAAGGATAGCAGCCAGAGGACACCTTGGTGGAGATGGAGAAACATCCAAAAGATGGTTAAAGCTAGATGGGGCCCTGGAGGTAGACACTAGAGAGAAAAGAAAAATGAATAATAACATGAAAATACAATATGAAAGCTCTAGCTTTGGTGGATATGTAGAACCTGAGGCCTGCATCAGTGGGTAAGAATGCTTGCTGTGTAAGCAAGAAGACCTAAGTTCAAATCCCCAGTGTCATAGTTAGCTTCAGTTGTTGGCTTGACACAGACCTGGTGTCACCTGGGAAGAGGGAACCTCAACTGAGGAATTTCCTCCATCAGACTGGCCTGTGGATCTGTCTGTGTAGCAGTCTCTTGATTGTTCATTGAAGACGGCTCAGCCTGCTGTGGGCAGTGCTACCCCTGCACAGGTGGGTGTGGGCTGTGTAAGAAACGTAACTGAGAGATGGCTCAGCGGTTAAGAGTGTTTGCTGCTCTTCCAGAGAACCTGATTTTGGTTTCCAGACCTACATCAAGCAGCTCATAACTGCCTGGAACTCCAGCTCCAGGGGATCTGATACCATCTTCTGGCTCTCTTGGGAACCCAAACATATATGACAGACATATACAAATAATAAAAAGTTAGAAATCTTAACAAGAAAGAAGGGTAGCTGAGCAAGCCAAGGGAAGCAAGCCAGCAAGCAGCATTCCTCCATGGTCTCTGCTTCAGTTTCTGCACCAAGTTCCTGCCTTGGCTTCTCTCCATGATGGACTGCAAGCTGTAAGATAAAATAAACACTTTCCTCCCCAAGTTGCTTTTTTGTCATGGTGTTTGTTACAGCAACAGAGAGCAAACTAAGACAGGAAGGTCATAGAGGGTTTATGAGGCAGAGTCTTGCTGGAAGAATCATGTCACCAGGGGCTGGCTTTGAGAGTTTATAGGCTCACCCCCCTCCCTGCTGGCACTCTGTGCATCCTGTGTGGAGTCCAGATGTGACCTCTTGGCCTTCTACTCCTTCTGCCATGCCTTCCTGTGCTAGATAGCTTTAGTGTCAACTTAACACACCTGGGTTGAAGGAGACTCGTTTGGGGAATTGCCTCCATTGGACTGGCCTGTGGCCATGTCTGTGGGGCATCTTCTTGAGTATTGAGTGATGTGGGAGGGCCCAGCCCACTGGGTGGTGCCAACTCTGGGCAGGTGGGCCTATGTTGTATAAGAAAGCAGGTTGAGCAGGGGCCAGGGGAGCAAGCCTGTAAGCAGCGTTCCTCCATGGCCTGTGCTCCAGCTCCTGCCTCTAGGTTTCTGCCCTGAGTTCCTACCTTGGGCTCCCTGATGAACTGTGACCTGGGAGATGTAAGACAAATCCTTTCCTCCCCAAATTGGTAGTGGTCAGAGTGTTTTGTCACAGCAATGGAGAAACAAACTAGAACCTTTGCCCACCATTATGGACATCTGGCCTCCTGGAACTCTCCCTTAAGTTGCTATTGGTCATGGTATTTTATTTTGGCAATAGAAAGGTCTCTGATACAGACCTAAGGCAGGCGGATCTCTGTGAGTTCCAGGTCAGACTATCTACAAAGCGAGGTCCAGGACAACTGGGGCTACAGCAAGACCCTATCTCAAAAAACCAAAAAAAAAAAAAAAAAAAGAGAGAGAGAGGAAGGCACCCAGTGTTGACCTGTGACCTCCACATGTACCCACATACATGTGTACCTGTATCTGGACATACATGTTCATACACTTACACATGTATATGTGTTGCAAAGTCACCTCATCAACGGAGATTTTGTGTGTGAACTTGTGTGTAAATAGGTAGGTACATGCACATGTGTGTACATATGAAGGCCAGGGGTTAACATTTGGTGTGAGAGGGTAGGTTCGGACCTCCTCCGTTGGGGTAGCTGCTCGGAGCTCAGCAGACCGCCAGAGAGTGTGGGGTTCTGGCCTCCAACTACCAGAGGGCCTGAGAACCCAGGGGACAGCCTGACAGCCTCTAGATCCTGCCTCCATGTGGTGGTCCTTTTAATAAGATGATGCTATACAGCAGTCCCTTCTGCATGAAATAACTACCATCA